CCATTGTAAGTCATGAATTGAGATCAAGAGAAAACACGCTACAGTGTGCCGTACCCTGGGGTATGGACACGGCCACCTGAGAGTTGTGGAGCAATGGGTAATGACACTTAGCTGTTGCTGGGTAAAGAATCCCCTCCCCTCCATCTGATTGGCTGTCACCAGGCTGTCACTTGAAGCCCAGCCCAGCAAAGCTCTTGAATCAGGACGCAGATGACGTGACGAGGGAACTTGTCAGTCGGTGTTATTTGCTATAATCATTAGTGTATCCTCGTACTGTCAAAGAGAGGCGGTTGCATCCTGTGTCCATTCAACAGCTGCTGAGAGACGTAAAGGCCACACAGGCATTTACAATACATGCTATGCATTTAATAGCAAATGCTTTTATCCAAAGCGATTGACATTGCTTTTCAAGGTACACATTTACTTTCTTATAAGGTCTTGCTTTCCCTGGGATTCGAACCCATGATGACCTTGGCATTGCAATGAAGGCTATACTGTATATGGTCAGGGTGTAAAGTTTTCCAGTTCAACGCTATTAACCTTCTTGATCTTGTGTTCATTACATGGCAACTGCTAAATGTAAATATGGACCCCTGACCAGTTCTATGTAATTTCCATTAGTGCCAGTCCAGACTCCCAAGACAAAATAAGACAGGACCAAATAACATGAGTGCAAGAGTACTCAGTTTTAGCATTATACAATTATTTAGCTTTATAAAATTCTTAATTTAAATGTAAATTATAATAAATAACAAAATATAATAAATCAATAAAATTTACTAATAATATAGCATTATAATAATATATATCTATATCTATCTATATCTATCTATATATATATATATATATATTAGACCCAGATTTAAAACTATATTGAAATACAGTATATGAATATAATTAAAACAACTTTTATTATAATCAAAGGTTAAAAAAAAGTTTCTGATGCACAATAAAGATGAAGGTCACAATTACTATCAGGTTATACGCTGATTTCACACAGCCGCCATTTTGAAATCGAAAGCGAGGCTCCGATGGGAAGAACCCCGGAAGTACAGATAGACAACAATGCCTTGGACTACCAACCTGAAGCTGCTCTCGCGATTTACACTATTGGATGTTAATATCCAATATAGGATATTTATATAGTTTATTCCTGCTTCTTTTTTTACATTCTGAAATATATATAAAAAATTATTTTATTCATAAATTAATTTCACTATATATAATCTAAAGTATGAAAGAAATGTATGTACATTTTTAGAAAACAACAATACGGCATCAATTTCCCGACTCTCCTATGATTAAAAGCGACACTTCCGGTTTGCACCGGAGCCATTTCAAAATGGCGGCTGCGTAAAATCACTATAGAAGCTTGTTTACGCCACGAAATAAAATGTAAAACATAATTGCTAATTTTTTTATCTCAAAATTGCGAATTTACATCTCACAATTCTGTTGTTTTTTTTCTTGTTTTTTTAACGTCATTTTTAAACTTGCAACTTTGAGAAATAGTCAGAATTGTGAGATAAACTTGCTCCACCTTTACGCATTTATCTTGCAAATTTGACTTTTTTCCTTGCAATTACGAGTTTTTCTTCGCAAGTCTGACTTTGTTTTCGCAATTGACTTTTTCCCACAAGTTTGAAATTTTTCTCTCATTTACGAGTTTATTTGCAATTCTGACTTTTTTCTCGCAAGTCTGAATTTATTGTAATTCTGACTTTTTTTCGTACAAATTTGACTATTTTCTTTGTAATTGCAAGTTTATATCTTGCAATTTCTGACTCTTTTTCCTCGCAATTTTAAATTTTGTTAAAGTAATTCTGACTTTTTTCTCAGAAATGTGAGAAAAAAGTCAGAACCTGCAATAAACTCGCAATCACAAGTTATAAAGTCAAATACTGAAATACAGAAATTCTTTTTTCACAGAATTGCAAGTTTATATCGCACAGTTCTGAATTTATATCATGCAATTCTGGGGGGAAAAAGACAGAATTGTGAGATAAAAGGTCACACTTTTTTCAGTGGTGGAAACTAGCTTTCATAGGTTTTGCTATTTCCTCAAGTAAAAGTCAAATAAAGCTGTTAGGGTAATGCTAATTATCTTTATTTCCTAGGGTTGTTGCAACAGTTCTCTGTTAAGTAGAGAATTAGTTGGAAAAGCCATTAGAAAGTTTATGGCCAGCACAGTGTGAGCAGTCACATAATGCCCATAATGCTCGAAAAAGTTGATTACATAAGAAGCTACGTGTGCAGTGTTGGATTTATCAGTGGGAAACACACTGTTAAGTAGTCAGACATAATGCCTGAAGAAATGTGCGCCACACGAACAGATGCTCTGAATAATTACAGTAACTGTATGTGTCGTTAAATTATATTAATTGAACTTCAAGTCATATACTATAGCAGATGTTTCAAACAAGGCACACTGCTACTGCTTTGCATGCAAATAGTGAGTGTTTACAAGCACAACAATACTATGAAAAATCTGTAATATATATATATATATATATATTCCACATGAAGTTACAGTTAATGAAATTTACCCACTGATAGGTTATAGGTGTATTTGGTGTAAGATAATGCATTTAAATGCACTCAATGTAACAGATGGTATACTAGTGTACTACACACATACTGTATGCCAATAAAACATTTGGAATAAATGCATCAGAAATTTACTTAATTTAGAGAGGCCAGTCTGATTGTTGATGCTGTGAGTTCTCCAACCGTTCCTAAGAAATGTACCATGTTTACTTTGCACAGATCACCAGACATTACAAATCAAAGATTGTGAAGCAGTGAGAGCTGCCGGCTGGTATGGATGGGTAAACAGCTGAGAGCACAGTGAGAGATGAATTATTGAGGCCGTTTTGGCATCTCTACATGCAGAGGTCAGTATGTATTGGCAGTAAACCACACTTCTAACATAGCAGGACTTCAGAAACAAGCAGAGAAGACCAACAAGGCCAACAATGGAGCCTTTTTTTTCAGTCACCAGACGGTGTTGTGGGCGGTTGCCGGGGTGTTGCTATGCGATTACAAAGGTGTTCTGACGTGATTTTTAGCACATTGCAATGTGGTTGCTATGATTTTGGGGGGTGGTTGCCAAGGTGTTGCTATGCTATCACAAAGGTGTTCTAAGTCCTTTTTAGCATGTTACTCTGCGGTTGCTATGTGGTTGCCAAGGTGTTGTTATGCGGCTGCACGGTTTGAGTAATTTTTTAGCACGTTGCTATATGGTTGCTGAGGTGTTGTTATGCATTTGCAAAGGTGCTGCTATGAGGTTGAAAAGGTGTTTTAGTGATGTAGGTGGTTACCGAGGTGTTGCTATGTGATTTCTATGGCATTGTGGGTGGTTGTCGGGGTATTGCTGTGAAGTTGCAAAAGTGTTCGGAGGGATTTTCAGCACACTGAGGGATTTTCAGCATACTGCCATGCATCTGTTATGATCCTGTGTGTGTTTACCGAAGTGTTTCTTTGTAGTTGCAAAGGTGTTTCACCTTTGCAGTGATTTCACGCTGCTATTGAAAGTATTCAAAGTGATCTATGGGCTTTATACAGCTTTTTACACCAGATGCCATTGAAAACCCTATAAGTCTATTCCTCACAGCCTCACTTTTTTATACCTCTCATGGTGCTGCTGTGAATAAGGTCTATCATGGTTCTGAGTGTTTTCTGAGTTTGCTATGCACAATGTTACTATGGTGCTATTCTGCTAATTGCTTACTAACCCCAGTCTTTTAGCCTGGTTAAAACCAGACCATTCTTAGTTGTAACTGGTCTGGAAAAGCATCATAGACAAATAATTTCCAGACGGGCGTCACCAACGGACGTCGCAGGTAGACCTAAAACCAATCAGAGCGATGAAGGAGATGACGTGTGCAGAGCGGCGGCCGGCGGAGAAACATCTGCGAGTGTTGTTCTTTGCTCGGTTTTTAACAAAAAGGAAACGTTCAAATCGCTTAAAACAGACGCGATAGCTGATTCGAACGAGTGATGTTCGACGGCGGCATCCATCTTTGTAATGTAGGCTACAAAATCTGCTTCAAAATCCCAGCGCTGTCGCCATCCCCAGACAGCAAACTGACATTGAATCAACGTGGAAACGACGTCTCTCATGACATTGAAACAACGTTGATTTTGCTCATCGAATTAACGTTGAACCAACGTCAGACGCGGCATTCTTCAAAGCTAAATGAAAATCGAAAATTGGTTTGCTTTCATAACGTTGAAACAACGCATTGATTTTTAACTTGATTTTCCGTTAGTTTTGAAAGAATGACGCGTCTGACGTTGGTTCAACGTTAATTCGATGAGCAAAACTATGTCAGATCAACGTTGTTTCAATGTCATATTTCCACGTTGATTCAATGTCAGTTTGCTATCTGGGTCGTGTAATCCCCGCCCAAACGTTTCTGATTGGTGCCGCGATTTCGAAGGATTGGAAATGGGCTTGAATGAGCTCTTTGCCAGACTAACTTTCAGAGCAAATTGTCTGGGTTTTCCCAGGCTACCAGTCTCTATGATTTTCTGGTCTCACTTTCAGTGGATTTTCTTCATTTTGCTGATAATCATGACCCTAACTAAGAATTAGCAATACTAATAATGACGCATACCAAAGTGAGCAACACACAAAAAAGATTTCCTACATTAACTCACATCTATATTTTACTAAGAATGAATAAATTGTCATGAATGAAACTTGTTTACAAATATGGCACTTTAAAGGTATCTTTGCAATATGACAAACTTATTATGCGAAAGCTATATCTCCTGAGGTAAAAGTCCATACAGTAGTACAAACCATATCAAAGTCTCTCTCACTCTTGGCAGACCTGTTAAAACACATGTGTACTCCCAACCTTGGCTTCCAGATCATCAGTACACGACAAACAAACAGCAGCAAACATGAACTTCTGTAAAATAAAGACTGCTGAACAAACACACGTCTGCCAGTAAATTAGAGCTGACATGACGATTACACGTTATTTACTCACCATCATGATGTTCCGAACCCATCTGACTTTCATTCTTCTGCGGAGTACAAAAGATTCATTTTTAAAGAATATCTGATCTACATTTTTCATACGAAAGTCTAATCATGCTTTAAAATTACAAAAAAAAGTACCAAAAAGATTGGACTGGAAGAACATAAGGTTGAGGAAAAAGATGACAGAACGTTCGTTTTTTTGGTGAACTATTCGTTTAATGTCACATTCAACACAGAAAGGTGAGAAATGGTTGTTAAATGGCGAACAAGGAAATGAAAGTCATCCTCTAATCAGTTAAAGGTCAAAGTATGCAATGAATAAACCAAAAATGTTTCCACTATCTTATCACAGCCAGCAAAACATGAAGCTGTTCAACAGAGGGTCATTCACAGTGCTCTCCATATAAACCATGTGCACGCGCATCCTTCAAATCCTTCCCCCACGCCTTCGCTCCGGTCCATCCATCTGTTGCTACTCACAGGCGGTAAAAGGATAATTATGGAGACGTACAGGAGGAAAAATCAACAGGAGTTGGATAAGGCCTATCAGATATTTGCAATGCAAACAGTCAAAGCATGGTGTGCTTCTGACCCCTCAGGATTCAGGTCACTGGCAATCATTTACAAGACTCTAGCCAAAAAGGACTTGAGCTACTTGTTTCTACAGGGCATTTGGAGTGCATTTAGCCTGTCAGCTGCGTGTCATTGTAAGATGGGTAAACACTTGATAGTCACAATGTTTTTTAACAGCCCCACTGGCAAGTTTATGGGCAGGTTTAAATGGAAAAGCCTGAAAAGCAAAAAAAAGTAGGCCCTATTTAATGGATGGATGGATGCTAATTTAGCTAAAGCTAAATGTAGCATAAATATAAGTTAGATAAATATGTTTACAGAGTAAATCATGGATTTTGCTTCTCAGTGCTTACTTTACTTCGGTAGTCCAGCACTAACAAGCCATATGTTTAAGTCTCCTCCTCAACAGTCCAAAACCCCTGTCAAGGTGAATCAACACACATGCTCTCAAACATGTAAGCTAGCAGACTGCAGTCATGTTCCAGTAAACAGATGGCTGCTATTGAAGAAGTCATGTTAGATATGGAGATTTCAGTGATTAATCAACACACAGAACACATGCTTATAGGCCTATTCATGAGGATGAGGATGTGAGGTCATTTTAGCATGTAGCCTGCAAGCGAATTCTTTATCTGCCACCCCACCAGGAGAAAAAGCTAAAGCTGTCTGTTTATAACTAACAATAATTTGGAAAATTATTTGGAATTTGGTTATTTTGGTGCTATGTAGGCTTTTTTCACCTAGAGAAAAATTAGGGATGGGCTGATGTATCGTATTGGCCAGAAAAAGCAATAATTTGTCTAAAAACAGCTGATGATCAGGGCAAACTATCCTGTCAATCAAAAGGGGTCGGAAAAAACGACTCGTACAGTACAATGAATCACCGGTTGCCAGACATTATTTGTAGGGCACTTCCTATTCAATAATTGCAAAAAGCTTTGTGCTTTACTTCTGATAAAGTCTCAGCTTTCAAATTCTGTCGATTTTAGCACAAAAATTTTTTTTAAAAATGCCGTTTTGACACTCTTAAATGTGACGTGACAGATCACTGTAGCGCCTTAGTTCGAGCGGGAGCGTGGCACGCGAGTCTTTTCTTCAATACACATTATAGCACGAAAAAAACATGCATGAACATCAGAAGGTATGTCGAAAGATACAGTACAACTTACAGAGATCATGTTTCAACTGTGGAAAAAAAGACGTCAATGATGTCAATAAAATGCTGCATTTACATCAGGAAAACTATTCAAATGTTCACATTTTTTAGTTATAAAACACTGAAGAAAAGCTTATCCATGTATGATTGAATTAATTTGCTATGAAGACAGGTGTTTATGAAAACTACCTTATGAGTTGTCTCCAAACATTTCAGTTTTTATTTGAGTGTAATTATTATACCTGAGTTGAATATAATGTTTTGGACTGTTGTTTTAACCTGTAATATTATAGTAATGTTGTTAGTTAGTTATGTTGTTACTAAAAATGTATCATCCCAATTTTTTAATTCTTAAATAATAAGAAGAGAGACTTCAATTACATTGTGACCACTGGTTTCCATTTCAGAAATCTAGTCACTTTAGCTGACTTGTTTTTACAGAGCCTGTAGCAGGTACCAGGGCTTTCATTGAATAGCACAGCTCTGTGGAATTGGCAAAAAAGAACAAGGTAATTACTTTGAGTGTCGATCTATCTTTGGTCTAGCTTGACTGCTTTAGTAACAGCTTCTTTTAGCCCCCTAGTGACACATAATAGTCTTTGCACTCTCACTGCCCTTGTTTAAAGGTGAAATGTGCAATTTGTTCCATGCAAACCAGTCTGAAAATTCCATTTTGTGAAGGTAAATTGCACATTTCGACTAAAGTTATGTTAAACACAAGTGTGTTTGACAATGAATGAATACACAAAAAAGATACCTGGAGAAAAAAAAAATGTGTGGATGGAAACTGCAGACTAGCCTGCAGCTTTACCCTTGGTCATGTTGTTGCTATTGCTGCTTCTTGAGATTGTGCTGGCATACCAAACAAAGTTTGGCAGATTTATTAGAATTTCATTACATCAAGGTGAATAGATGTCCAGTTTCTCCTCGTGTAAACAAGATTCTTATCTTGTATCCTCACATATATCAGTTCTTTACTCTTTGGAGCAGATGTTATAAATCTTAATTAATGTCGACATGAAATGGAAGTTAGCAATGATAGTAATGTTGCTGTTTGAGCATAAACAACATCTGCAAAGTTACGACGCTCAAAGTTCAAAGCAAAGGGAGATATTTTATTTTACAGAAATCGCTTTTTAAGGACTACAACAAACAGATGGTAGGGACTACAATGAGCTTCTTCATGTTCAATGTACAAACAAGGTACAAAAACCCCACCCCCGGGAACGTGATTTTTAGATTATCATGACAGAATATGCTAATCAAAGTCTAGAAGATAGTTAACTCCACATCAGCAACTACATAAATTCATCAACTAACCATTCAGAAATGTCCTGTTGCTTTCTACACGATGTCACTTCTTCTTCTTGAGTCTCTCCATCGATGTCTGACTCCGGTTTGAACATAAAAGACTAAAAGTTTTAGAAATTTTCAGTGAATGAGGTAATCAGAGCTGCCATACACACGAGCTCTCGAAGCTCCGCCCTCTGCACCGGTAGCAGCAGCTCATTTGCATTTAAAGGGACACACAAAAACAGCATGTTTTTGAAAAAGTGACAATTTTAACATGCTATAAAAAATATATGTGGGGTATTTCAACGCATTCTCATCCTAGGGCGTCATATAGTGACGCTTTTGACAATGCGTATACATCCAACGCACATGGCACCCTTTAGCGTCAATATGAGACGCAGATAAATATATATGGGCCAAAAGGTGCCTCCTAGTGGCCTAACCCTAACCCTGCCCCAGACATAAATTTACCCATAACCAAAGTGTGTTATATTGACGCTAAAGGGTGCCATGTGCGTTGGATGTATACGCATTGTCAAAAGCGTCACTATATGACGCCCTAGGATGAAAACGCGCTGGGCATTTTGAGCTAAAACTTCACATACACACTCCAGGGACATCAGAGACGTATTCATAGCGGCTTACAGGGCCGGCCCGAGGCATAAGCGAACTAAGCGGCTGCTTGGGGCCCCCTGGCCACCAGGGGGCCCCCTAATCGAGGTTATTTTTTATTTTTATTTTTTTAGATGACTTAAACAAGTGACATAAATCAATGAATGAATGAATGAATGAATATGACTGAATGAATAGTTCAAGACAACAAAATTCTGATTTAATGGTCAATATACCTGCCTACAAGTTACAACTGCTGCTCTGTCTGCCAGCGTTTAAGTCATACGCATAATCTTCTAGACACCTCGCGCGTGCATAGACAATTCGTGCGCAACTGCGCCTAGTCACGGTATCGGTTTAAGTTGGAGAAAATAGCCCGCAGGAGAACTTATCCTTCAAGGTGTAAGGGTAGCAGTTTGAATAAATAATAAACATAGCAGTTTGAACTCTTCTCCACTTTATTATACCACACATCAGATCTCCAAACACCCGCGACACTCCAGTAGCCTAGCAAGTGCGCACGACCCATCTACGGCAAGCCCCGAGGGGAAAAATACATTGCATACACACATACAACGAGCGCCAGAACATTATAACCGGTATTATAGTAACAGACTGTGTTGATTATGTCATGTACTATATAACAAAGTCTGTTACAATAATAATAATAACAATAATAAAGATTTTGAGGATAGTTACTCTGTATTGAGACAGTTGAGAAATAGGCTAGTAATATTTTTAGTTTTCAACAATAGCTGAGACCCAGAAAGTTTTTTTTTTTAATTTAGTTTTTTTTCATGTCATCACATTGTTTAAAGCATAATAAACAAATGGTAAAAAAAAAAAAAACCTTTTGAAAAATTATATTTTATTCATTTGTAATACTTTGTCCTCTGTAGTGGACACCAGGACTCAGTTGTTAAAATTAAATGACATACAATGTGTAGGCAAAAACAATGGGATTTTTTTTCCAATCACCAATACATTTTGGGGTTTCAGGATTTTTTTGAACTAAAATTTGTATAAAGATGATTATCAACTATGTTATGAAAGATATAATGGAATTAATTGATACACCAATTTACTTTATGCAATATATGGGTAAAATTGGCATAAATTAATATTCCCATTCAATGCAAAGTATCTATACACTGTATCTAATTTGCACATCAATGTGTTCTTGGAGCAACATTTAATGAGGAAAGAAGTGTAAGCATTGGCGTAATAATAAGCAACATTTTAATAATAATATCTAATATGTCATAAGAATATTGATGTATAATTTATTTACATATTCACTTGTTATGTCTCCCAGAATGCCTGATAAACATGATTTATGTCCTGATGTTCTCTACAGTGGACATGAATGAAATCAATGCCCTGTAACGGAAAGTCATTTTTTTCATTTGAAACCCCATAAATTTTCATGAGATGTTGGTTGATGAAATACAATTTGAAAAGTAGTTAGATTTAAATTATAATTACAATATATTACCATATTTCAATAAGAGTGCTACATTTGATCACTAAATTAATGTTAGACATTTTTTAAAGACCAAGGAGAAGTTGTTTTCATGGTGAAACCTCCAAACATTTGGTATCTCTGTATTGCCCTGAATGTGCTCTTTACAGGACATCCAGAAAAAAAAAAATGTGCATGCATGGTGTCAGAGAAATACACTAAAATATAATGTCCACTACAGTGGACAAAAGTCTATTCCTGGGTCCCAGGAGGATAGGCCAAAGTATCATTGCTCTTACGTTTCTAATTTCTCAGTTTTGTCATTAATTTTAGCAAATAAATTTATTGTATATGTTTTGAGACAGTTTTAAGACTGTTTTCAAACTTTTTTATTTAAGTAGGCATCTATTTTTTATTAATACATAACCTCAGTGTATTCATTTATAATGTATCATTTTTGCGTGACATTTATGTCAATAATCGTCAAACACAGGTGACTCCGCGTCGTGGGAGGGCCCCCAAATCAAATTCTGCTTAGGGCCCCCAAAAGGTCGGGCCGGCGCTGGCGGCTTACAATA